AAAAACGCTCCAAATCATCATGCAAAACGCCTGCGATGTGTGAGAGAGTGTGATAACCAGCGTGAGTGGAGGAACGACTTTGAAGCAAGCACTAATATTAGTTTCTTTCAGTCTTTTCCTTTGCCACAAAAGGAACAAAATGATGGATATGTGGAAAAACTACACACTATGTGACATAAAACAGTCCTAAACTCCTTCTCAATAAATCAAAATGGATCAAAATGCTCCTGCCAAGACTATGAAGATCATCATCAGAGACAAAACCAATCAACACTGAATAGACTTATAACAATAATACTATAAGTTGAAATGTATAATCTTTTGAATGTTATGATATGATGACATGATATGATGTCTTTTGTGTGTGTGTGCATGTATAAAATCTGTCTATCTGACTAATATATATATATATATGTGTGTGTGTGTGTGTGTGTGTGTGTGTGTGTGTGTAATTTAATTATTTTGATTCACACAAGCTGCGTGCAAACACATTTCCACAAAGTGCACACTTCTGCACAGCCGAGCTTAGTGTCGCTATTATAACATTATACAGCACTTCGTGAAGAATATTAAGCATTAAGAAGACTGGATCTGCTGTAGTCATGGAGTTCAAAAGCTATTGCAATCGCATTTACACAGCAAATCTCATATTCCAACTCCTTGTCATTTAGAGCTAATGAAAAGAAGTGTCGAATGAAGATGTCCTCATTACAGTCTCCATAAAAAAGTGCCTGAATAACAAAAGTAATAATTCAAATTTATTAACGGATGTTCCACAATTAAACAGCGCTAACCGACTAACAGAAGGACAGAGATGAGTCACAGAGTAGCCGAGGGCTGACATCACTGCTTGTTATCATGTGACCTTTAACCTTGATTCACAGAAGCCGTTCCAGTTTAGTCTTCTAAACAAGAGCAGTCATGGAAAATAACATGTGTTTGGATAAATCAAACATTCCGTATAAACATGGCAGCCTTGCATACTAACAAAAAGAGTTCAGGTTTGCCATAACTTTGTCTATAAGTTTGATTTGTAGTGACCGATCCTGATGTCTTGTACATTGCTGCTTAGATCTTACAGCTCTTCTGGGGTTTTGAAATTCACACAACACAACACTGTAAAAAAAAAATCCGCAAAATTTACGGTAAAAAAACGGCAGCTGTGGTTGCCAGAATTTTACAGTAAAAAATACTGTATCAACAATTTAGGTTTTACGGTTTTAAATTTCATGTGCTCCAGTTTCTCATCACCACCTGCATTTGGTGGTTATCAGTGTATTACAAAGGTACAAAACATAAAAGCAGGAAATGATAAGCGTGTCAGAGGAGAAGGGACAGAGCGGTGTGGAATAAAGGTAAATTATGTGAAAAATAATGCGTTAAAATTTTAAATGTAACGCTGGGAATTCTGGGAATGTCAATTTACGGTTATTCACTGTAAATTATATGAAAAATAATTATGTTTTTCACTTCCAAAAACAGTATACTACCGTAAAATTACATGTCCAATACAGTTTTTCACCGTATATAGTAGGCGAATTTACCGTTAACCATTTAACAGGTTTTTACTGTAGCATTTTTACAGTCTTTTACCGTTAAATTCACAGTCATTTTTTACAGTGAACAACTGAGCCTCAATGCAAAAGCTGGCACGCCATATTGGATGACAAGAGACACACTGTAAATATCAACAAGCTCAAGTAGCAGCAGTGCAAGAATATCTAATATGTGTGAAATACAAATTCAACACAAATGATAAACGGAATTCATATTTGCATATGTAGCGTCTGCGTAGAATCATGCATGATCTTTGGGTTTTATGGCTTAAGAGACCCTTTTAGCTTTTGACATTTGCATATAAAATACAGTCCTGGTCACAGATTTCCCCATTGAACTTCAAACACATTCCAAAGAGACGTAAATGACCCCCGGGGCCTGGCTGACCAGCAAACTACACATGCTCACATAACACTTATATGGGTGCTAAATGGCCAATGGTTCCCCCCACCATCAAGGAGATGCTAAACAGTTTCACCACTCTCGTCTCCCCATTGAACTTCAAACACATTCCAAAGAGACGTAAATGACCCCCGGGGCCTGGCTGACCAGCAAACTACACATGCTCACATAACACCCCCCCCCCCCCCCCCCCACCCCCCCCCCCCCACATCCTTTTACTTTCCTCTCTCTTTTCCTTACTTTGTTTCATTCTGTATATATTGTGTTTTGCTTAGTTAGTTATATGTTAGATATAGTTTAATTTATTAAATCCCTTATATTCACGATCGATTGCCTCTGTTGCTGCTCACAATTCGAAGTCAATGAATGTTTTGAACCCTTGCTACATATGCTAAATTACTGCTAATATTGACTCTGCTACAGTTAATTCGAAGATATAATCTAAATATTTATTATTAATCATAACCAGTTATAATTAGTCAAATATTTCCCTGTTGAGCTGATTTACTACAATATATACATAGATCTAGTGCTTTCTGTGGACAAAAAAAAACTAAGGGGGGGAAGTCATGGCTTAATGGTTAGAGAGTCGGACTCGTAACCCAAAGGTTGCGGGTTCGAGTCTCGTACCGGCAGGGATTGTAGGTGGGGGAATGAATGGACAGCGCTCTCTCCCACCTTCAATACCACGACTGAGGTGCCCTTGAGCAAGGCACCGAGCCCCCAACCGCAGCAACAAATGGCTGCCCACTGCTCCAGGTGTGTGTTCACTGCTGTGTGTGATCACTTTGGATGGGATAAATGCAGAGCACTAATTCCGAGTATGGGTCACCATACTTGGCCACATGTCACGTCATTTTCACTTTCAAATCACTAGTCCCTACTGTACAAAGGCAAAATGAGGTTGTAAATGTTAACAAAGCTATGTAATAATGCAATATAACAACAGCACTTATGCTTGTACATTGATGAAACTTGACTAAGCAATATCTGTGGTGCCACGCAGCACTGGTGTGTCACTGACGTAATGAGGCTGAGCCTGGGTTAATGTTCCGGCCTGTTTCTGTGTCACTGGAGTAAAGAGTTTGTCACACACACACACAATCCCAGTCATCTGCACTGGACAAATCAACCTTTTTACTGGCAGTGATTCAAAGCTCCGGAACTATCATCATGCCACCGAGCCCCAGCCTTTGCCTCTAAAGTCTTTCCTGATGAGGGCTCTCATATGTTAAAGGTGCAATAGATGATTGTCTTCTGAAACATTTTTTGTTATGTTGGTTGAAATTTTCTTCACAACCTGATAGCAATCATTAAGTTAAGTGTTGTAAAATATACATGAGAGTCAGTTGGTACTACATTACTATAATACTGAAGGTTAAAATTGAGTGATTTGTTAAAATTACACTTAATGAAGATTTTAAAATAATAAAGTTACAATTACATAATATTTCTACTTCAATGTATTTAGTTTTTTTATATAAACGGTGGCTGTCATAAAAACTTGATGGATTTATTCAAACATAAATTAAACATTGAAGCAATCAAATTTATAATGAATATGTTATATGGTGCATATATTTAGCAAAATGCCCCTCTCTACAGTTTATTTTTCTATCTGACTAATGAGTTTATGGTCACGAATATGTTTTTCTGAGGTAAATTTGACATTACGTGACATTGTTTGTTTAGAAGCCGTTATATTGACGTCTTTGCGCAGCTGAAACACTGATTGAGCGATTACATGAGACAGAATACGGATTGTAAAGTTGTACTCTTTCTTTTAACTTACCTTCAGATGTTTAGTCATGTTTATTTTGTGCTGAAACTGGTATTAATGTGGATGAGATGATCACTTCACGTGCGCCTCGTGCTGCCGCGTCTGTTAAGCTACAGCGATCTGTCACTCCATATTAAACAGCGCCAAAACGGCATTTATTGTTTGAATACTGCAATACAATGTACAGAATTTGAAATCTGAGACTCTGTTTCATATTAAAAGTACCAAAGCACAATGCTTATTGCGATTTATTGAATGGGAGGTGTGCTTCAATGGTCCGTCCATTAACTGAAAACAGGCTAGAATAATATATATATTATATAATATATATAATAGAATAATATATATATACGGTATATACACACACAACATAATTTAACAAGTTGTCTAATTAGTTATAAGAATTTGCAATAATGACTGGGAAATTGTGCATCTATTTTTAAGGTCAGAAATAATATATTTTTTATATTTCTATTTATATCTATTTTTATATATTTCTCAGTGATTATTAGGTTACATTCATGCATATTAATTATTAGTTAATTAAAATAATTTTAAATAATGTATTTTGCAATAAGAGATGGAAAATTGTGCAGCAATTTTTATATGTCAGAAATAAATATATTTTTACATCTATATATTTTAATACAACATATTTCTAAGTTATTATTAGGGTTTCTTTACAAAAAGTTATATTTATCTACATTAATTATTAGTAAATTCATCATTTAAATTCACAATATGAATTTGCAATACCAGTTGGGAAGTTGTGCCGCTATATTTATGTGTCAGAAAGAAATACATTTCTTAGTTCAATTGAAATCTACATACTTTTAATAATTATTTTATTTTATTTTCTATACTTTTAGAGAGTATTTCTTTATCAAACGTTATATACATGTTTATTAATAATTAGTTGTTTTAATTAATTAATACTTTAACTTTAAATTTACAAAAATCGTTGGGAAATTGTGAATCTAAAATTTAACTCTACGACAGCTCTAAACTCACTTTTACTACAGTATGATAATTTGTTAATGATTTTCAACCAAAAAGATGCATGGAAAATTATCCCAAATTATTCTCACAAATTCAAACCATATCTATGTTAACCAGCAAAATAACTTGGTGATATTAAAATCAGCACAATCAACAACATTTTATATGACACAGAAAAGCAAATGCTTATTTTTGCCAGGCATAAAAACATCAGCATTGGCCTGTGTGATACAAAACACCTCTTCTCTCAAACTGTACTCACTGCAAAGTGCAATAATGTGGCTGCTGTCTTCATGTACAAACTTCTTGGTCACCGCCTCCTCCATGATCTGCTTCACCTAGACATGGAAAGACACGTAATTAGAAACGGCAAAGATTGGCAAAAAATAATGGCAAGTCAAAATTCTTGGAATCGGGTGCACAAAAGCAACTAATTAATCATGACAGCGTAACCACAAAAGTTTCATTAGCATCATTCAATTGATAAGTTTCCCAGGGAGAGCAAGGAACTGTGTAGAATGAGTCTTTGTCACATTTTTCTCGTCCAACTGTCAGTACTAAAGCAAATCCCAAACGAATTAATCACAATCCTTACAGGCAGCATTATACTGTTTGTGTAATTTGAAGAAAAGCAGAAGGGTAATTGTAGCACTGAGGAGCAAATTATGGACATCTGCTGATTACAGGCATGACTTGTGTGCGCCCTATGGTATGAGATTTGCCACAAGGCCAACAGACAGTAAAAGTAGGACAATTCAAAGGAATGGCTCATTTGAAAATGAAAATTTACTGAAAATGGACTCACCCTCAGGTCATCCAAGATGTAGATAAGTATATTTTTTTATCAGAAAAGGTTTGGAGAAACATAGAAATGTAGCTCACCAATGGATGCTCTGCAGTGAATGGGTGCCATCAGAATGAGAGTCCAAAAAGCTGATAAAAACATCACAATAATCCACAATACTCCAGTTCATCAATTAATGTTTTGTGAAGTGAAAAACTGCATGTTTGTAATTAGCAAATCCATCAAGACGTTTTTAACTTCAAACCCCTGCTTCTGGCTAAAATAAGATTCCTCGATACATAATATTGCTTTCTTCAGTAAAAAATAAATAAATAAAAAAGTCCCCTTGCCTGAATCAGGTGAGAAATACGCACTGATCAAGCACGGTTTATGAAAAGTGAAAACAGCCCAAAACCGTTCTAAACAAATATGTCTGTGAATTTTGATATGAGAGGACAGCAGAGGATATACTTTTTCACTGGAGGAAGCGTTATTATGGATTATGAACTGGATTATATTTTGGCCAGATGTTTTAAAGTTAAAATGTCTAATGATTTATTTGTTTCTAACAAACATGCAGATTTTCACAAAACATTAATTGATGGTTTTGACTGGAGTCATGTGGATAATTATGATGTTCTTATCATCTGTTTGGACTCTCATTCTGACGGCACCCATTCACTGCAGAGCATCCATGAGCAAGTGATGTAATGCTAAATTTCTCCAAATCTGAGGAAGAAACAAAACTCATCTACATCTTGGATGACCTGAGGGTGGGTAAATATTCATCAAAATTTCACTTTTGGGCACACAAATTTTTTTTAAGGTTGATATTAAGTGTTTGGCCAGTGCTGTTGACCTTGGGATGAAATGAAAAAGTTTTAAAACAAGTTCGCTACAGCAGCATTACATAACATATATCTTGAAAGACACAAGAATGGTTGGCCGCTCGACTAGAGTAGTGCAAATGCTTTACATAGTGATTTAAAAGAAAACAATGGCATTAAAACCCATGTCCAGCCAAGCTGACAGCGGTAACAATGGCGTTAATGAAGTCATCACTCAAGGATTTTTACAGTTGAAATAAGGGGCAATCAGAGCTTGTCGGTCCACACACACACACACACACACAACATGTGGAGAGATTATAACAGTCACAAGCCTGTTATAGGACTTATCTTCCTCACCACTGGAGGCAGTAGAGGGCAACATGATTTTTGTATAAGTCAAGTCATATGGTAGAATGAGAGGATGTGGTATGCAAAAGCTAAAGCATGGCCTTGCCATATGCTTCTTGAGTCCTTGTTGGGAAACCTGTGTTTTAATGCTCAACTGAAAGTAAGTGATGTTATATTGAGTATGAAATGTGTCTAACTTATTTCTCTTTTGGTTTTGGAAGTGTTTGAATTATAATATTTGGACTGTTTGTTTATTATGGCTTCTTTGATTGTTGTAGAAGGACTTTTTGTGTGTTACCTGGAGGAGTATGGTCTCTGACCATACATAGCCTTCTCTTCAATGCATCAGGCAAATATCACCTTTGTACAGCTGTTCCATGACCTTTGAGGCTTGAGTACAAAATGAAAAGGGATTAAGATATCAAATTGGCTGGAGGATTTGGATGGAGGATACTCTGGACATTGTGAGAACTTGGAATTCAGATAAGACTTTATTCACTCCATTGCAGCTAATTCATCATTCATGGACATTCATGATCTGTCTACAATTCTATTTACATTTTGGTTCTCTTTGTGTGTTTTGATTTGATGAGAATAATGTTTCTATGCTTACTTGATTTTTTCCTGAATATAAATATGATATTTTGCATTCAATGAGAGGTTCTGATTTGTTTTATGCTTTGTTAAATGGATTGTTATTGCAGTAGGTTACCTTTTTCAAATAAGTTGTATGACTAGTTTTGGGTTTAGTTAAATCAGAAACCGTTATAAGATATCATCACAATATGCTCTAGTAATTCACCATCTAACGTCTATAAATACAAAGAGCTTTGGCATCCTCTTCCCAATTTAAAAGGATATAGTGAACACCTACGACAGTTTGCAGACGCAGTCAATCGCATGCACAGCTATAAAAAGAAAAGTCTATGAAGCAGCATGCAGTTCAAATTCTAAGCTCTAAGCACAAACCCCAATAAAAATATTATCAAATAGGGGATGCATTTCCGCATATGCAAAAATATCTAGCAAATATTAATCATTGCAAAATGGTGTAACGTTGCTCAATGCAGCCAATAAATATTGATGGGGGAAAAGGCAGAGAACAGGAAAATTAAACTAAGTTGTTTTGCTCTAGTGGGAGCCATTCGTGACGATCCCTGCTTCATGCAGCTGTATTAATCGTCCACTGATGCAATTTAACTTTTTAGGTAGCTGCTGATGCTTTCAGTTCCTAGGCAACCAGAAGGCGGCTGACTGCAGCTTAAAGTGACAGAGACCTGGGATGTTACACAAAGAAAGTCAATGGGGTAATACAAATCTAATTCTATGGGTATTGCAGGACACAGGATTGCACATTATTTTCAGGTCTATTTCATTCTGATACTGTGTTTCCTCACTCTACATATGTTGCTTAAAACAGGTGAAAACCAAAAGAATGTTTGTTAAAGCCCGCTGAGGTCTAGAGATATATATCTTTCATTTTATATATTTCATTTTACATGTCATATGTCATAAATATTTCCCAAAGACATATAAATGTGGGAAATTTGCAGGAGAAACACTATTAATCAGTGGAAATCAATGTTACTCTATGTTAACTAAAGAGTCCAGGACATCTCTGTGGAGGACGTGACTCATTTGATTTGAATGAATATGGAGCACAAAAGTTCTTTAAAACTTGATGAAGGAGATGATGTTAAAAATTGATTTCCTTATTAACCCAGGCCACTGTGCCACCTGAGGCCAGATACCTTAAGAATTATTGCAGCTCTTCTTATCCATGATTTTTGGCCTCTATTAGACATGCTCTTAACTATCATGAAAAATGATGTCTGCCAGGACTGTGCATTAAGTTCAAGAGGCTGAATCAGCTACGTGGAGGACACAGTCTGTTCTGACACATGAGACATGCTGGTACCAATTTAGGACATCTATTCTTTGCAGCAATTCATTCAAGATTTCTATTATTCACGAGGGCCGGATTTAAAACTAGCGTTCCCTGCACTGTGAGGGAAAAGATAAGAATTAATTACACCGATATAAAAGAATGTAACAACTTCTCCCACTGTACAGTTCCTGGAGTGAAAACATTGGAAACTCTGTGAATGTGAAGTCTTATCAAATAATTATTACAAAATACGCTCAAGAACAGTTCATTCATATTATCTCAGCCTGGTTATTTTGAATTGGCATAAAACAGTTAGTACAGAATTTTTAATACATGTTTTTACTCCTTTTTAGGTTAAAATTATACCATGGATGAATCTGTTTTCCAATATTATTATTACAAGCCTCTCTTAAATACTTGAATCTGATTGGTCGATCACAACATTGAGTGGGCCAATATATTTGCATTTGAACTAAACTAGATATTTCACCACTGTCCAGAAGTTGAGATGTTCTTGAATTGTTTTCAACAGTGTATTTGACTATTATTCTTAGTGGAAGCTTTAAGCTAATTTGTACAAAAATTTATATATTAATTGCAAATAAAATATGCCATGTTTTTATTTATTTTGGCAGTAACAATGTAGTATGTGCAGCACACCAGTCATTATAGCAAAAATATTACATTACACGTTACATACATTATCCCTTACTTGACTTTATTTAACTTACTAGTCATTTTTAATAATGAGTTTGAAGCCAGTTCGATATGTAGCGTGAACCAACAATGGCCATACTGGTCCTATATAATACAGATGTGAATTTGACTGCATGATATTACATATTTGGTCACTGAATTAATGTGTATCAGCTCAAAAATGAGGTTACTGTTGTATTTCCACATGATAAAGTTTTCTCCGCATGTGATAAAAAGAAAACAAGCCCAGATCAAAACATTTCAAGCATATAACACGCAGAGCCATCAGTGCAACCGATCTCTACTAATCTAGTCAAATATTAAAGTAGCGTGCTTTCTCTTACAGTCGCGTTATAAATAAACCTCGCGTGCTCTGCGCGCTCAGCCCCTCAAGTAGCTCTCTGTCAATGGAAATTCGATGGCAACACGTTTTTATTTACATTGCAACAGGCTAGGAGCATATTCGACACTAAATATGTATTCTATTTAGGCTGTATTTAGTCATTTGCAGAAGACAGATTCTATTGGTCACCGCAGAAACCACTGATTAAATCACTGTCTCCCATAGCTACATTAAGTTAAAGGCGGATGAGGAAGGAAACAGCCGATCCCTCCAGCTCTACAGGTGAAAGGGTTTGAATGTGAACCTATAAGAAATATAATACCTGAACACTTGTAAATGCAATCACTGTAGCCATCAGCGCATCCAAAACTTCCATATGCATGCACTAAATCGGCTGCAAAGCATGCATGTGAGCTAATCGTGCCCGCATGTTTTAGCATTCAATCAAAACTAAGACAAGAAATAAATTAATCGCACTTACTTCTCTTTTGACGTTCCATAGTAATTTCTCTTTAAATTCTTCATTTGTAGTCGAACCCATTGTCCCAGATTGTTAAACAACCCAAGTGCAGCATAAACTGGCTGGAGACATAAATCTGAACGGCTCGCCTCCCTTCCTTCCTTCTCATATAAATGTGTGTTCTGACAGCTGAGCGTTGACGCATCTAAGCACTGCCGTATCGCATCGTGAAGCCATCTTCGTGTTCCTTTATGACGCAATCACCGCTGGCCCCGCCCTCTTGGCATTGTAGATCAATGGGATAAATCTCTTCACGCGCCGTACGCCGTTCAGGCGGTGACGGCCATTTATTTTTAGCTCCCCTCCACATTTGACAGCTCAGATAGAGGCGATTGTGGTGGTTCAACTAATCAGGCATAGTCATTGCGCGTTTAATAAGATATGATGTTCTTATGATCTACTGGATGAAAAGATGATGCATGATGTCTCACATCCTATGGAAGAAACAGCTGGGTATTACCTATAAATTGCACAGGTGCATCCAACTGGAAAAAACAACAAGCACAAATTGTAATTATTTAAACTAATACATATTTCACAGCTGTTTAAGGGGTTGTGGTACAATTTATAATTTGCCTTTAAATGAATTATTTAACCACAAAATGAAAAGGTATGTAAACATAAATAAGTGTTTCTTCATAGCAAGATGTTTGGAGAAATTTAGCGTTACATCACTTACTCACCAATGGATCCTCTGCAGTGAATGGGTGCCGTCAGAATGAGTCCAAACATCTTCATAATCCACGACTCCAGTCCATCAGTTAACATCTTGTGAAATTTAAAGCTGTGCTTGTAGGATACAATTCCATCATTAATGTCAGGTGGTTTAGCTTCAAACAGCATCTATAACGATTTTTACATCAAAAATCCACCGACAAATTTTAGAACAATTTTTGCTTTTAAATCTGTGCATATTTCTCTCCTGATTCAGCTGAGCTGACTTTTTCTGGAGGAAGCAATATTATGATAGAGGACTCATATTTTAGCTGGAAGCAATGTTTGGCAGTTAAAAATGTCTTGATGGATTTACAAACATAAAATAGAAATATTTAAACACACAAACAAGCGGCCTTTCACTTCACAAAACAGATGTATTGGAGTCGTGTGGATTATTGTGAGGTTTTCTACAGCTGTTTGGACGCTCATTCTGACGGCACCCATTCACTGCTGAGGATCCATCGGTGAACAAGTGATGTAACGATAAATTTCGCATCTACATTTTGGATGGCCTGAGGTTGAGAAAATCTTCAGCCGATTTAAATTTTTGGGTGGAACACTACTTAAATACAATACTGTTAAAATTACTAGAGATAGAACTAAACACAGAAAAGAAGAAAAATCTAAATTTTTTTGTCCATACATTGACAGTCAAAGGGGCCCAGTGTTGTTTGGGAGCTTACGGACCAATTTGAATTATTTTTGGGTGAACTATTGTTTGATATAAAAGAAAATATTTTGAGTGTTAAATAACTGGAGCAGGAAAGTTTTAGGTCACATTCATTCATTCATTAAGCACTGCATTAAACCATTTCTTTTCATCTTACTAGACAAAAATCAAACACTACAACCTGATTTTCACAAATATAAAACCCCAGGTCCATATACATGATTTCTTCTTTCTTTCTTTTTTTTTTGTTTTTATCAAATCACAGTATCAGAAGATTAATGTAGGCATAAGGCAGGTTTGTAACAGAGTATATGATCCTGTACGGTTAGCAGAAACAGTGATGTATTTGGCAAATTCATCTTGGCAAGATGTTATCAAAACATTCTATGATTAGGTTAGTAACTATTTAAAAACATAGTGTTTTATAAAAATTAGGTAAATAAATTAAAATACAGGAACTGACGCTAATTCATGATCAGCTTTTTGTGTTATGTTCACATTAATGTTCAAGGCAAGCCGCATTTCATCCAAAACATCGATTGTCAAGCCACCTACAAAAAAAACAAAGACAAAGTAGCAATCTGTTCAGGCAGCAAACTACAAAGTGGTTAAACGGTGCTGGTAGTTTAGTGTTCTCCACAGACAATGTGAAAACAGAGGCACTAGTTGGAAGGATATATATATAAAATGTCTTGGAAGCCTCAATTCACAGTTAGGCTAATGTCCAAGTGGTCTGTCGTCATAAGTGCTGTATCTTTTAATGTGGATGCGCCGCACACGCTCCCTCAGCTCCACGGCTTCCTCCTCTTCACTGTGTGAGCAACAATTGTTCCGTCTGCGGGTGGCCTCCAACAGAGAGTTATCTGGGACTGGGAGAGTCTCATACAGCAAGGCATTTAGCGTCTCCTCGTAGATCCGTGCTTCTGGAAACTCAACCTGAGCACATTACGAGAGTTCTTTGTCACATTTAATCAGGCTATGAAAATGTCTAGAGAAATACCTTTTCAAAGATGACTTACCTTTGTCTGCTTCTTCTCAGTAGCATAAACAATGGATGTGCAGCAGACTTCTGCTAGCTTGCGCCTCTGTCCGTAAAAGGACCAGCAGCAGATCTCATCTCCAATGACATCTTTAATGAAGAGCACACGACTGCTGTAGCTCAGAGACAGCTTCTCAAACAACTCGATATTCTTGAGTAGGTTGTCATCCGAGTTGCTTTTGAGGAAAATAAAATAGCAATCAAAAAGAAAAGTATTGACACTAGAAGCCAACTGAATCTCTCAAAAAGGTAAATCATGTTGAATGTTATAGCACTCATAGTATTTACCTTGTATAGGAATATTTGTTGTTACCTCGGTTGTAAAGCAGTTTTACAGCAGGCTATAAGTGGAAAAATAATAATGCCAAAAGACATTCAGAGTTGCAGACTTTCTTGTTCTTACGTGAACATAAACCAAACCCCAAAAGACAGAATATTTTCACTCCAGGAAAGTCTCACCCTTACGCAGCCTTGTATCAGTCTCTCCTCCTCTTTAAGAGATGTTATGACCGGGATAACACACAAAGCCTTTTCTTCATTATCCTACCAACAAACAAACTAATTTAAAAAATGGATCTCACAAAGCCTGCCAAGAAATATCCGGGTCATATTTCACCCCAAAATTATTATTAATATTATTATTTTATTTTGTATTTTTTTTTTTACATAAAAAAAAATGTTTGCTTTTAAGAACATTTAAATAGTTTGCATTATTCTTTTACATACATTACATTTTCAAAGGCCTGCAGTCAGTATGATTGTTTTCTGAAAAGAAATTAATACTTTTATTAAGCAAACTTATGCCAGCATATTTATTAAATTGTTCAAAAGTGACAGTAAAGACTTTAATAATGTTACAAAATATTTCTATTTCAAATCAAGGCATTTTTAAGCTTTCTATTCATCAAAAGGAATAAATTAATAAAAAAATTAATAAACCTGAAAAGAAATCATCGCAATTTCCACAAAAATAAGCACAACCGTTTTCATATAACATATAAAAAGTTATTTTAAATTGTAATAATATTTCACACCGTTACTGTTTTTACTTTTTCTTTAGATAAACACAGTCTTTGTGAGAGCAAGAGACTTCTTTCAAAAACATAATAAAAACGTAACCCGAACCCATAAAAAAACCGACCCCAAACTTATAATGAACGGTAATGTATATTATTATATGTTATTACAAGACTTTGCCTCAATTTCCATTACCATAATTCAGAGGTCTTCAACCCTGTTCCTGCCTGGGGACCCACTGACCTGCAGAGTTTAGCTACAAACCAAACACACCTGAAGCAGCTAATCAAGCACCTCAAGATTGCTTGAAAATACACAGTCAGGTGTCCTAAAGCAGGTTGGAAATAAACTTTGCAGGACAGTGGGTCCCCAGGAGTAGTGTTGAAGACCTCTGCCATAATGCACCCAAATCTTTACTATTCCCATTATCTTCAAACAGGATTCTCATTATTGTAATATACATTTTATTTTACTGTTATACAGTAAAACAATTCTGTTACACAATGATTAGTCTTAATTAAAATGATTATATATTAAATCAGTAAAACAAATTGTACACAGATGTAAAGTATTTGAAAAATTAAATAATTTTCCCCCCCCCATTACAGTAACAAGAATGATAGAATCTTATTTGCAATACGACAATTAAAATATGGTGGGGGGGGGGGGAATGTGCTTGCTTAATAATACCACAATTTTAAGGTCTCAGGACCTGAAGTGGCACAATCACATTGACTCCTTTGTTAAAAAGGCCCAACAGAGATTGTACTTCCTTCGCCAGCAGAGGAAATTCAACCTGCCACAGGAGCTGCTCACACAGTTCTACTCAGCCGTCACGGAGTCTGTCCTGTGCACTTCAGTAACTGTCTGGTTTGGCTCAGCTACAAAATCAGACATTAGAAAACTACAGAGGACGGTTCGGAAGGCTGAAAGGATTATTGGCGCTCCCCTGCCCACCCTTCAAGAACTGTATATTTCCAGGGTGAGGAAAAGTACTGAGTGAGGTTCAGAAATTCACTCTGGAACCCTCACATCCAAGCCAACTCCTTTGTGAACTTTTAACATCTGGTCGGCACTACAGAGCACCGAACACCAGGACTGCCGAGCACAAGAAAATTCTTACCACAGGCAATCTACCTCAAAAACAGTTAAATGCTCTCCCCTACTGTTCAATAAAAAGATGTGCAATACCACTTTTATTTATTTAATAGTACCCTACATCTTATTCCATTCCTTGTAAATTCTATTCTATTACATCTATATAGCCCAACTGTACATACTAATTTTGTCATATATATATATATATATATGTGTGTGTGTGTGTGTGTGTGTGCGTGTGTATTTTATTCACATATCTTTATTTCTTATTATCTGCGTGTTGTTGTCTCTGTGTACTGGAAGCTAATGTCACCAGAACAAATTCCTTGTATGTGCAAACATACTTAGCAATAAAGCTCTTTCTGATTCTTATTAAAAATCTAATTTCTTTCTTTTAATTTTGGAATGAAATATAACCTGGTTATCTTTGACAGGTTTCATGAGAATGACACAAAAACAAGAAACACATCATCAAGAGAGTACAAGTCTCAACCAACCTGCAGGGCTCTCTGGCACAAGTCTATCAACCCCTGGATCTGGTAATACTTGGCTTCTGCCAGGAGCTCCATGATGCCCTGTCTGCTCTTGGGCAAGGTCACAAATCCATCACGGAGATAGCTAAGAATCGAACCAAAGTGTTTCCCACAGCGATCTATTAGAATCCAACCTTAAAAAAAAAAAAAACAGAATTCACATTAACAACATCAGCACCGTGAATCAAGTGTTTACATCGTATCTCTGTACTGTCTAAATAACTCGCCTTTCTTATCAGTGAGCACCTCCATCTTGCCACTGAACATGGATCTCAGGAGGGTGTCCTGTCGGGTGAGCACTTGCAGTGTGGAATAGTAAAGATTGCCACCAACATTGAGCTGCACATACTTGTTGCTGGTGACACCGCGGTAAGTGCAGGTGTTAGTCTTGGGGCAGGCCACTGAAGAGACTGACACAACGGGCCCGGTTTGCGGTTGAAGCTGGTGCAGGCAGCTCTCTCCTGACATGTCCCGCTGTAGGTAGATAACCACCCTGCACACGATGGGTCTGATTTCCCCCGCCGTGGTGATTGCTGTGGAGCAGGCTGCAAGTAATGCAAAA